ATTATATATTGATAGCCATTATAATTTAAAAGTGCAAACATGGTATAGGGTTTTGTTGATATATGGTTCATAGATCATACAGATCATATTTTAAAATATCTGTTAAAAAATTATCTGGATATTTAAAAAAATTGATTGGTTAAAAAATCAATACCAGAAAATTGTTTGGGTAAAATATCCATATAATCTCAACCTTACACAATTCCGTATGGACAAAAACGATAACGGTTTGATGTCGGCAGCTGATCTAGGCCCTACAATAAGTTTGTGCATCTTTATACACAAACTTAAATTAGAATAATCTCAGCCACTGAAATCAGTTTGTTGTAAGTTAATATGTAAGTATATAACCATGGTTATATGTAAATATATATCATGAAATTACTATGAAAAATAGGATAGAGCAACAAAAAAACAAATAAAACACAAATATAAGATAAAATTGTATATTTTATTTAAATAAATTAATCTGAATCAGTTGATTCATCAAATAAATTGGATTGGTTGAGCTTCCGACGTTTTTTGTGTACTGACAATTCACCGTGAGCAGCATCTAAAAAAGGTATAAAATTAAATTTGAACATATCAATAATAGCAATATGATATAAATCACAACATAGATTTCAACTTAGAAACATAGAAATCAACGTGACTTCCAATTTTGATTTTGGAGAACAAAGGAATTATTTTATATTTCTAATATATAAATTATTATATTTATAATTAAATAAAAAGTTACTTTGGCACTTTGGACCAGGATGTTCATTGTCAAAATCTTTATTATTTTTTGCAATAATCAAGTCATTGCATTCAACAGCTTCTATAGAAATTAAAAATATATACATATAAATATATATATATATATATATATACATATATATATATATATATATATATACATATATATATATATATATATACATATATATATACATATATATATATATATATATATATACATATATATATATATATATATATATATATATATATATATATATATATATATATATATATATATATATATATATATATATATATTACCATACCATACCAATTATTCATACCAAGGATTCATACATAGAAATACATAAATACATTAATATATACAGCATTTTAAAAAATAGTCATGATTTCAAATAACCAATAGAAACAACATTTCATAAAATACTTATACCTTTAGGAACTTTAGAATTTCGCCTTGCAGCCCTTCCACCATTTTTGTCCTTTGCATTATGCAAAAATCGTTTGATGCGCAACTCTACAACATTGCGAGTTTCATTTGGAAATTTTGTCAAAACGCAGTCCTTTATGAATTTCTCTAACTTCACTGGAAGTTTTAATTTACCATTTTTCCCACTTTGATTAAGTTGTTTTGCCAAATCAATTGATAAAAGGAGATTTAATAAACGCTCACAAAGATCATTGGAATCACGGCCACCTTCTTGAAGCATCCACTGAAATATTTCATCAGATAAAACAATATCTGCATTTGCTAGATCATCCGGAGTACAAAACAAAGGAACTTTTCTTTGTTCGCTTTTCAATAATGGTATTGCTTTCACTGTTGAATGCAATGTCAAGCTGTCCAGCCGTTGTGAAATAAGAGCTAATTTTTGCAAAATGACAGCTTGACCATATCGCACAGCTTGGACTGTGTCAGAATCGATGCCTGCATCGTTGCAAAGAACATTGAGCTCATGGAGCACAGCATGAGTACTATTTGCTCGTTTTGTTTTTGGACCATCTGACGCTGACACTTTGCAGGCCAAAGGTTTAAAAGACTTAGAAATAATAGAAGATGAGACTTGTAATTGGTTTTTATCAACATGTTGGATAGAAGATGTTGGTGTAAATATATGCATTGGGACTAAAGGTGGAGAACAAAGTGGAGGTATTGGTTCACTAACTTTAACAGCTAGTGGTTTAACAAACAGTGGTGTAAAGGCATCAGAATCAGTTCCACTGGTGAGGTTGTCTAAAGGCTGTAAAGGTGCGCGTTTATTAGACCGAACTCTATATAAATTATAAAAGCGGTAGTGGTGTAGTGGTAGAGCGCTCGCTTCATAAACGAGTGGTTCCGAGTTCGATTCCCACCACGTCCCTGGTAGTACCGCGCTCAACTCGTTTCTCCGCGCAGCGGCCTTGTTCGTCAAGGTTCGTGTTTCGGAGTTATAGAGTTGAGAGAGGGTTATAGCCACAAAATAAGTAGCCTCCTCGTCTGAAGTGGCCTTCTCGGCCTTGAGGAGGTGAAGTAAAATAAAAAAAAAAAAAAAAAAAAAAAAAAGAACCAACTTTATTAAATATTCTCAAGAAACACAAAAACTAAAAATTTAAATTTTATAAATACCTAAACTTGATGTACTTCATTAACCTCAATGCACCAAAATTTTTAACTTTAACTGCATGTCTCAAACTGTTTATAGTTTGCTGACAACTGTCATCATTAGGAACTACTTGCAGAAGACATGCATCAAATGGTTGATCTTTCCACACAGCTTGAATACGTACAACATGATCAACTGACAAAGAATTCCAATCATCAATTGAGTAACCTTCATAGTCCATGAGCATGACATCTTCTTCATTTAATATATCCACATGTGTCATCAAAATATACTATGTATTTCATTCTATCTATATCTATATCTATATATATCTATATATATATATCTATATATATATCTATATATCTATATATATATCTATATATATATATATATATATATATATATATATATATATATATATATATATATATATATATATAATATATATATATATATATATACAATGATGATAATATATATATATATATATATATATATATATATATATATACAATGATGATAATATATATATATATATATATATATATATATATATATATATATATATATATACAATGATGATAATATATATATACATATATATATACAATGATGATAATATATATATATATATATATATATATATATATATATATATATAAATAATGATAATATATATATATATATATATATATATATATATATATATATATATATATATATATATAATGATAATATATATATATATATATATATATATATATATATATATATATATATATATATATATATATAATGATAATATATATATATATATATATATATATATATATATATATATATATATATATATATATATATATATATATATATATATATATATATATATATATATAATGATGACTAATATTAAAAGTAATAAAAAACATAAGCAAATGATCAGCAATAGTTAAGATTTTTTCTTTGGACTCTGAATCCTTGTTGTCACTTGAGTCGCTATGCAAACACTGTACAAAATCTTCTGACTCTGAGAGCATGCAATCTTCTTCATTTAAATACAAATCACTATCTGAATAATTTAAATTATTTTCATTGCTTTCAAAACAAACGTCAGATATAGAGAAATCAACTGGGTATAGGTTAGCTCTGTCAACTTGTGGCTTAAGAGTTTTGCCTAAATAAAATAATTTTAAACTTTCAATTAAATATAAATTCATAATTTAAATGTTATATTTGATATCACAACAGAAATTAAAAAATATTTAAAGGGCTATTACCGTTTACTTCAATACTGCGATTTTGGTCTAAATGAAACAATAAATTACATTATAGCTTTATAGCATTTAGTAAACTATTAGCATTACGGAATGATTATTTAAATCAGAAGAATACTACAAAAAATATATACTTTCACAATAGAAAACAACATTAACGTAAATTATAAAAATGATTAAACATAATTATATATGTATATCTCTCTCTCTCTCATATATATATATATATATATATATATATATATATATATATATATATATATATATATATATATATATATATATATATATATATATATATATATATATATGTATATATGAAAGAGAGAGAGAGAGAGAGAGAGAGAGAGAGGGAGAGAGAGAGAGAGGGAGAGAGAGAGAGAGGAGAGAGAGAGAGATTTTATAATAACATTACATATAATAACAATTATTATTACATTTTATCTGCAAAGTTTGCACAATTATTTTTTATTTTTTAATAAAAATAGTTTCATTTTATATTATTGTTATTGATATTATATCATCGAACTTATATGATATAAAACTTTGTTACAATGATTAACACTTTAATCATTAAAATAAATGTTCTATATCATTTTGCCCAAGTTTTATTTTTATATAAACAATTGCAATCAAATTTTTAAATACTAGTTTATATTATTAATATAAATTTACCACGTATTGAAGAAAAAAAAGTTGACAATTCATAACTTGCTCTTCTCCTATCAGAACGATTTGATGCCATCATTAAAATATTGAATTGGTTTATATAATTAGTAACTAAAATATAGTTATATTTTAGTTGCACATTAATTATTGCTTATAGTATATTATATATAACAATAATATTGTGATCATAAAAAAAATTATTACTGTAAATATAAAATATACAATATAAATAAACAAGGCAAAAATTTGAAGTGAAATAATAAACAAATAGTTAAGCTTATTTTGCTTAAAACTTATGTTACCAGTATATAAAAAACTTTCTACCTTACCTTGTATTGAATTGAACTTTTATATCTTCAACATTTCTATCTGAATGATGTTCACAATTTATGTTCAATCTTTAAAATTTAATGAGGTAATTTAAAATCGTTAAAGACTCATAATTGTTTACTTATTTAACAAGTTTTGAGTTAATGAACTAATTAATATCATTTAATGTTTAACTTAAAAATGAATAATTTTTTAATTAAACATAAATCACAAACTGTATGCTCACAGTTTAAGTATTTTTTAACTGTTATCAAAACAAATTACTGTTTACCTAGTATATTGATATTATTATCTAATATTTTTATATCTTAAACTTTAATGATTTATAAATTTATATAACTATTCAAATAAAATTCAAATAACTATTTGTAAATAAAAAGTAATGTTATTATTTATAAATACCAATTAATATTATTAAATAATATTAATTTAACAGGTAAACGAATTAACTTTCCTATGCATTAAAATTTTTTGCCTTCAGTTAGATAGATTTGCTGCCATTTTTAAAATTCAACATATTCATTAAAATAAAAAACAGAACCAAATTGGCTGAACATCGGCTGAACGTCTGTTTGACCATTCATCGGCCAACAGACACAAAACCGACGTTTCACCGATATTATTTTGCTAAAAACAGAGTAGCCGATGTTCAACCGATGTAACAAGCTCGGCCTGAGCTCGGCCCACCGTCGGACTTAACACAGGGTAGCAGAACATGATAAAATAAACTCTAGATAACCCACACCTTTAAAAGACAAAGAAATTAGTTTAGTTTAAAGAAAATTAGAGTTATTGAGAGTATAATATATAAAAAATGCATAAGAGGAATTTCAAAATTAGTTTATATTGTTGAGGGTTGAGTTATCCTGAGTTTATTGAACATATTTAAACTACTAACTGCACACACTTATAAAAACATACATAAACATTTAAAAAACATAAATCTTTTACTTTATATAACACATCTATTAACATATAGGAAATGATACATTATAAGCAATTACCACATCATGAGACATATTAACATTTATCAAAAAACATTAAGTATCACATTTTAAAAATGAAATATTATTTGTGTAATATACATTCAATGACATACTTTGTAGTGCATGTTAATCTAAGTTATACAATAAATTATAAAAATCCTGGTTCTGGAACATGCTACATAGAATTGGTTTGTGTGAAAACCAAGTCCCTTTGAGATTAGCATTAACTTTATCAAATGTTTGACTGTAACTTTTATTTCTTGTCCATGAGCATTGTTAATAAAAGAGTTTTTATTTAAATGATAAATTTAATTAATTTGATAGCATTAATATTATTAGGAAAAATTAAAAAACAACACAAAAATTATGTAACAAAAATATATTTTAAAAAAAATTTACAAAAAAAAAAAAAAAAAACTGTGGCTCAACAGTTGTAAATCTAAAATGTGAAGAAATTATTTACAACAGTTGCGCCACACCTTCTCCTCTAGCAAAATATTGGATATACTAAAGGATCTAAATTTGCAGACATAGACGAAATTGTTTTTAAAGGCTGACCTCGAGGGTATATAACAACTTCCCTGGATGCAGGTGGAGCCTTCCACGTGCATCAGGGAAGTGGAACCATCATCTCCCACAAACACAATAGCAACCTCCTCATGGGAAGGAAGATTGTATTGACGTCTATCATGAACTTCAGGCAAAGACATTCTTACAACAGAAGTTGGTCTACCTTCTAAAGCTGCTTGGCGGATTTCTTCATCCTCTACTTCTGACATGTTTTTAAATGCAAGAGCAAATGGGTTTTCTTGATTAATTAATGTTTGCAAAAGTTGCATTAACTCACATATACAACCATCATTACCAGGTTGCTCCATTCTGAATGACACTGCTGCATTAGGATCATAGATATATAACTGACAATATTTGAGCAAATCGTCTTCTGCAGGCCTCAAATTTCCAACACAATGCAAACTTTGCCCACATACCCTAAAAAAGAAAGAGCCATTATTTGAGGGAGGAGCTAATTCGGCAGTGAAGGAAGCAAAAGATAAAGAGGAATTATACATAGATCATCCTAGTCATATTTTAAAAATCTGGAAAATTGTTTGAATAAATTTTCCGGAAAAAATGCGGTATTTGTTTTCCCTTATTTTCTTTTTAATTTTGCTAAGTTTTTCTAATTTTTTTTGACACTTTTCATGAGTGATAAAGTAAAAAAGCTTAAAAAACAAATATATTACAAAAATATATACCTCAACTTACATGTATTGAAAATGTTTTGGATAAAAAAAACATCTAAAAGATGAAATAAATATCCGGAATTCCGGAAATATCCGGAAAAAGATAATCCCTAATTATAACTCCTCATGTGTTTAACAAAACTTTGATTTACAGCATAATCAACATGGTTTCCTGTCATTAAATCAGTCAACAATGGTGGATATAAAGAAAGAGGACCTTATACAACTTTTCCTGAATGGCAGCACAAAAAATGAGTTTCATTTTAAAATTTCTTCGCACTACAATACTGACAATAATGGTTGAATTCTCAGAGGTAACTACTCCCTGTAGCAAAACTATTTCTTGCTATGCAATGCATAATATACCTATTGATTTCTCGCCTAGCCTGATTTTTTTTATTTTTATTACAATTTATTCCAGCTTGCCTAGGCTTATCTCTTTTATTCCTACGACGATTTATCTCAGCTTGCCTGGGCTCATCTCTTTCATTCTGATGGGGGTTTATCTCAGCTCGCCTGAGCTCATCTCTTTCATTCCGACCGCGGTTTATCTCAGCTCGTCTAGCCTGTCTTCTTTCATTTTGATAAAGTCTAATAAACTCTTAAACTATCAGATATAATAATGCATCAAAGGTGTGTAAAAATGATGCTTAATATAATAAAAAGTTGAAGTTTGAGTTTTCTTTTTTAAACTAATCTAAAATAAAATATAAGCAAATAATATAGAGCATAATATAATAATCTTTTATATTCTACCATATATAGCAATGTGTTAAGATAACATACTTTTATTAAAAGGTTAAACTAGAGCTATAAATAAATTGATATAATCTTTTAAACTGAGTATTGTTTCATATTTAAGGTAGTTGTTATTAATTATTGACAAAATATTATTAGTATTTAATCAAAAAAACAAAAGTAAAGTAATTTAAAAAATAAATTTTTTACATTTAAGAACTCATAAATAAAGCAAATTAAAAATAATAAGGCCTGTCTGCTCAGCAAGTACTGCTAAACTATAAGGATAAAATGTAATCATTCATCATAAAAACCCTTTTATTACTTTGAAACGCATTTAATGCAAAATTTGCAAAAAATAAGTAAATACAAAACTAATAAAAGAAAACCTCTATAAACAATCATATATTTGCTTCAAGTGAAGAAACTTGGAAATATTGAAACTTGTTTAATTATTTTAATTTTTTTTTAGATATCCAATATTCTTAAGAAAAAAAGTCAATAATATATATTCTATACATATAATATATGTATAGACACTTTAATTGTATATATTTATATATCTTTTAAACAAACTTACTCAAAAAGTAACAGTATAAAAATTATTTAATGAAGTATAAATCTGTTCAATAAAAGTTACTTAAAAATTATAAATATTAAAAAAATTATAGATATTAAAAAACTATATATCTTTCAACATTTCTTATAAACACATTCACTCAACAATTTTTATGACTACACTAACTATAAACAGATTTAAATTATGTATTTCATCATAACAGTACACCACTTAACTGGAGTGAACAACAATCTTGCTCCCAACAAAGCCAAGTCACATTATAGCAAAGTACACCACTTGGCAGGCAAAAATCAACACTCTTACTGTAAACTAAGCCAAGTTACATCAATTTGAAAAGATATTTATAAACACATAAACGATATTTACACACTTACAAAATATAAACCCATATAACCTTAACACATAAACATAAATAATATAAATAACACATAAATATAAATAAATAATATAATAAAAATATATAAATCAAGAAAAATATATAATTTAGAAACTTTACAAATACAACCTTATTTTTGTAATATTTGTTTAATGACATAACTTGTATAATAAATGTTTAACAACTTGGAAAAACAAACGATCTGGTTTTTTATATAAAAGCAAAAATATTTTTTTTTTAACTTCTTTAAAGGTAAGGTATTTAACGTTGTTCTTTCTTATTCTTTAACATGTAACTGTGTGAGATGCAAGAGTTTAGGAGATATATATATATAACACTTACTTTATCAAGAGTAAGACCTCTTGAAAAGAGCATCGTCTTTTAGAGTCATCATTGTCTTTTAATTTAAAAATTAAAATATGTCTATCTTATTACTAATTAAGTTGATGAAGCAAAGTTTTTGATCTTACTACTGATTAAGCAGATATTAACAGATTATTAAGATTCAAGAGTACCTCTTTAGAGTTTAGATATTAGTAAAAAGCGCTGTTTAGGTATGCATGCATAAGAAAATACAAAAAACTTTTTAACTTTTAAAATGGCTACAGTTCTTAACTACAGAGAATATTTTATATGGCAACAGATTAGTTGTTACTTAATTTCTGAAAAGGTCTTATTTTTAACGTAAATCAATTCAATAATACAAAAATTTCACAAAAATATAAATAACTAGTTGTAACAAAAATTTTTGCACGCTTAAACTTTTATTTAATACTTTTTTAGTGTAAATCATAGATTTGTTTATTTATTTGAAATCAAAAAATCTGACTGTAGGATTTCAATAATTTTTTTTTTTAACTTCAGATAAATATGTTCTATATGAATGATATTTTTCTGGTTATTGCTTTAACTTTTTTTCCATATAAAAATTTGTTTTTACTGTTATGACTATTTCCTTATATATCAAAATGCAATTTCATTAATTATTTTCTTAATTACTATTTTTCTGACTATATATATATATATATATATATATATATATATATATATATATATATATATATATATATATATATATATATATATATATATATATATATATATATATATATATATATATATATATATATATATATATATATATATACATATATATATATACATATATACATATAAACATATATACATATAAACATATATACATATAAACGTATATACATATAAACATATATACATATAAACATATAAACATTATCGTTGAAATATACTTATGTAATATAGATGATGGTGCTCCACCTGCATCCAGGGAAGTTGTTATATACCCTCGAGGTCAGCCTTTTAAAAAAAAATTCGTCCATGTCTGCAAATTAAGATCCTATACATTTTGCTGGGAGGAGAAGGCGTGGCGCAACAGTTGTAACACTTCAATATATTAGGAAAAAGCCATAACAGTAAAAGTAAATTTTTATATCAAAATAAAGTTGAAGCAATGACTAGAAAAATATCATCAATATAAAACACATTTATCTAAAGTTAAAAAAAATATTATTATTTAATAGGGTTTTCCCAAAAAAAACATTTTTGAACAATATATGGCTAATGTGTATTATATTATAAAAAAATTGTTTTTAAAAAATTTTTGAATAAAAAATATTTCGATGACTCCCTCAAGACCCTTAGAAACTTGTTATGTTTCTTTGAGACCCCCAAGGAACATAACAAGTTATTAATATTATAAAAAAATATATATTTAAGTGTATCATGTTGGGTCTCAAATGAAGCAAAATTATATGAAAATTTCAATATTAGATTTAACACCATAAAAAATGAATTTTATAAACTAAAAAAGTAAAATTACCATTTTTACCAATTTTTTGCAATATTTTTTTTTCAATGAGTTTTTTTATAATATAATTATCATATTTGAAATTTTCATGATTTCGCTTTATTTGAGACGAAATGTCAAGAAACACTTTTAAAGATTTTTTAAATTGATAATATATTGATTGATAATAGGAACTTGTTATATGTTTAAGGGACTCCAAAAATATTTTTTCTTCAAAAAATTTTTAAAACCAGTGTTTTTTTATCATATAAAACACATTAGGAGGTAGCAGCTATATTTTTTTGAAATATTGTTTTTTAGGACGACCTTATAAGTATAAAGTATTTATCAAAAAGAAGAGTGAACAATTTTACTTACATATATATATATATATATATATATATATATATATATATATATATATATATATATATATATATATATATATATATATATATATATATTTATATATTTATATAATTAAAGAATTTATTGGTTCAAAAAAATTGATCTTACATATGGTCCCTATAGACGGCTCTGGCTTACCTATACATGGTGTCTAATGTTAAAAACGATTTAATTAGTTTCATTATTGGAATTTTAAATAATATCATTTACTAAAAGCCAACACATAAATTTATATATTTTGTATATTATTATTTTGTTTATTATTTTGTAAATATCTTTTTTTAAGTTGGAGAAGACTGAGAGGAAGGAGGGGGGGAGGGGCGTTAAGGGTGGCATCGTCCCGCCCCTAATTAGTACTAATCTAAGGTAAACACCAATTAAATAATAATAGCAATCATATAATAATAATAATAATGTAAATTAAATGAAGACAATTATAATAATATCAATAATACTATTAAATATAAAAATGACAATAATAATGATTATATTAGTAACTATAATAACAACAACAACAACAATAATAATAATAATAATAATAATAATAATAATAATAATAATAATAATAATAGCAATAATAACAATAAAATTAACAATAATAATAATAATAATAATAATAATATTAACAAATATCACATTTATATTTTTTTATTACCATCATTATTACTTATTAAAATTGTTTAATATTAGGTACGTGAGTAAAAATTTCAAATTATTTGAATATCTTACTGTTATATATCATTGGAAAGAGGATCAATACAGTATTTTAAAGGTGAAAAAATAATCAAAATCGAACAATTGGTTCAAAAGTTATGACGGTTTAAGTACTGATTTTTCGATATATGGAATTGTTGAAGAAACTGTAGTCAAAATTATGTTTTTTTTTACTTAAACTGTCATAACTTTGTCAATTCTTATCAAAATACAAATATCTTGGTGTCAAGAGATAGGTGTAAGAGTGGACTACATATTTTTGTTAAACTCTTACCATTGGGCGTATCGGATGGACAGAGGGGGGCATCAAACCACCACCTTACCCGTATAAAACTGAACATTTTTTTGAGAAAAAAGATCTTTTTCAAGACATTAGCAGTTTAAATATACTAAAAAGTTGATATAAATTTATTTAACCACCAAAGTATATAAGAGTCGTATTTAAATGATAGAGGTGGGTGTGGTGGTGATGGTTTGATACACCCTAGCATCAAATATGATTTGTTTTCATAAATATTTTTATCTTTACGAAAATGATTTTAATTAGTATGCAATATAAAATTATGTTCTACAAGAATTTTCGTATACAAGTGGTGTTTACATTGATGTATGGGTGGAGGGGGCGTATACCCCCCCCCCGACCTAAAAAAAAAACAAACATATGTTTATTTAAATCCCAAAAAAAGTTTTGTCTATATAAAAAAGGTTCTATAAATTAATACCGGAAAACAAAATTTTAATTAAGAAATATCTGATTGGTTATTTAAAGCACAATAACAAAGAAGTAAAAAATATATCTTACTCTTTAAAAGTTACATTAGTGTTGCATCCATCTTGAAATCTTTCATATTTTTTAGCTATTTCATAGCTTGATAGTAGTTTGGTTAACTAAAAGTTTGCCTGTCTTAAATTAAAAAACAAACAAAATGTTATTAACACTAAATAATGTTTGATTATTTTAATGATTCTTCTGATATTTCATAAAGTTTTGTCTTGGCTTTTAGTGAATGATTACAATGATAAATTTCACTAATGAAATTATTTTATAATCATTTTTAACAATAGACACCACGTGAAAGTAAGCCAGAGCTGTCTATCAAAAATGCATAGCAAGTCACAACACTTGCAGTACTTTTTTTTAGCAAGTCACAACACTTGCAGTATTTTTTTTAGTAAGTCACAACACTTGCAGTGTTAATAAATTAATTAAATTGTAACTCACCGGAAACAACATCAGCAGCGAGCTGGATCTTTTTCATGCAATAGTCAACAGCTTCAATATCAGTTTCATCATCTTTCCAGTAAGAAATGGTGTAAATGAAGTCATTTTTTCTTTTATTAACTTTTTCTACTCTGCCGTTATATAAAATACTTTTGCATGTTTTTGGATCGTACCATTCATGTTCTAGTTTCTTCCCAACAATTCTATCTGACATGACATCTTCTAAATCAAATAGTTGATCATTGGACAAGTGCTTATATGAATTAACAATTTCTTCAAAATTCAATTCGAGCTCTAACTTTCTTTTTTCTTTTTCATCCATTTTTTGGCGCTTGATTTTTTGTCTTTGGCAAATCTCATCTCTTACTTTGCACAGATGCAGTCGATTTGTAAATCTGTTTTTACGTGCTACATTAATTGACCATTTAACAATCTTTTCTCTTAAACTTAAATCTAGAGTGTCTAGATAGTCAACAGTCCTATTCTTTTTTGATCGTAGTTTGCAAGAGATATAGCAAATTGTTGCATTAGGAGCTCATACTTTTGCATCACTAAACATACCCATTAATTCCTCACTATCTATATTGTGAAGCTTGCACTAGATGTTTCCTCTTTAAATGTCTGTGTCACAGTAAGTGAAAAATACCTACTATATTGTCTATTTAAAACATCTTCCGCTGCAATAAGACAGGCCAAAGTCATTTTAAGAAGCTCTTCATCAACGGAGCATAAACTTGTTACTGATTCTAAAATGTTTGGCTCTAGCGGCTGGTCAAAAAAATCTGTCTTTCTGCAAAACAAACAAGCTGGATTGGATTTGCAAGTTTGAACTGTTTGTATAACATTTTTCACAACCTGGATACCAGCAACATGATCAAAAGTTGCTTGCTCTGATATAACATAAAACTTTTTCATCCAGGGCCCAGTAAGAAGTTTTCCAAATACTGCAAGCACGCACATTTGTTTGATTGCGCTTGCACTACAAAATACTGTTCGAAGAGTTGCTTGTAAACTTTTACACTTTACTGTTCCAAATGTAAGACTTTGTTTAAATTTTCTATGATGCTTTATTAAAATAAAACAAGTATGGAAAAGAATGTGAAGTCTGTTTCCACGATACCTAGGAATGATACCTCGTGGTAAACCATTATTATCTAAAAAATTTACAAAACGTTGTGGATCGCCTTTTACATTTTTATTTCTCATTTTGTTTATAGCTAAAATAATCAAGGTTGCCATGCAGCCATTTCCAAACAATTTGCATTTCTCAATTTCTAGAGACTTCAATGCTGAACGGCATGATGTGGCAATTGTATCAAGAGGGTGCAAATGGCAGTTCAACTCATTTAGACTTTTACCCCATGTTGCACATACTTTGCTTATAGTTAGATGATTAACAGCAACTCGGTCAGACATTGTGTTAGAAATATTATTGATAATAGAACTACGAGATTCGTTATAGCTGCAAGAGTGAAAATGAAATACTGCCAAGTTCACGAGCCATTTGTTCAATAGAATTGCGGTGTGGAATATCAGAAAAAATAAAACCCATACATTGTCCAGTTTTCTGAATCAGAAAAGGAATGTTACCTGTTGGGACATTACATATTAACATATTATAAATAATCATTCTCATATGTAATGAATATGTCTTTGCTTCTTCATTCATGTTCAAAAGTGTAGTTGCGTTCTCCTCTTTTTGAAGCAAGTTGTTTTCCAAACTAGCAATCATTTTTTTATTTGCCCTATTATCTGTGTTATGCTTTACCTTTATTTGCTTCAACTTTTGTTTTTCATTATATTTTAATTTCTTTATTGTAGCTGTATGATTTTGAATTTGTCGAGTATAATAAAAAATTTTCATTTTAGTTTTTAATTCTCTTAACTCCCTTCTTAAATCCTTTATAATATCTTCTTTTCTTTTAACACTTTGTCTTAAAAGTTTTAGTTTATATGGCATACTATTTAATTTAGACTTAACTATAGCTATATTTGTTCTGTATTTCTTGGAAGAGGTTGCTAACTGATTAGCCAAATTAGATAACTGAATCTTCAATAGATTTTCTCTCGGTGGAATTTCTTGTCTACAAGTGAAAATGTCTTGTACATGATTACTACAACTGGCTGTAGGTAAAAACTCATTGTGTGTCTCAGATGAAAGACTGTCATGTTCATAAGACAAGGCAACTAAATGGGAATTACTAGGACTAGACTGGGATGGTTGTGTCATTGTTGAGATTGTTGGGTATCATGTAAACAGCTTGTTGCAAAAATTGACAAAATGTGTACAGTCCCTTTTAAAGTTATGTTTCCATTTTTTTGCTACATTCACTACACTTTGGACATGATATGTGGAAGTGTTGAAGTTAAAATGCTCATTGACTTCTTTTACAGTTTTCTTATATATCTCACCACTTTTTATGAAAACAAAAAGTACATGACCATTTCTACACTTAATGTTTGTATCATTAAACGATTTATATTTTGCATTTAAAAAAGTGTTGATTTCTCCTCCAAATATCAATGCTTTCTTTTTTGGGCCCATAACACCTATATATATATATATATATATATATATATATATATATATATATATATATATATATATATATATATATATATATATATAAACTAAAATCAAACAAACATCAATAACCAAAAAATTTTGATATTCTAATCAGAATAATTATAATTTAATTTTCAACTTGTATTTAAGATTAACCACAAAAAAATTTACAAACATTATTACAATTATAACTTAATTTAAAAAACTTTTTTTTTTGTATTTAGTTAATGAAATAACATAATTTACCTTTTAAAGCAGACAATTGACTGAAATGAAGTTTTTCAAACCAATTTAATCATTAAAAAAATTTAATTACTAAAAATAAATGGTATAAGAAATGGAACAAACCTTATAAACATATTAAAGTTTGTTCCATTAATGTATTATCAATAAATTAATGAAACATTTAATACTATTAATATAAAGATAAATTTATAATATAAACATAAAATATTAATAGTGTTATTTATTAAATAAAGTTGTTAAACACTAAATTTAAAGTTTAATAAAATAAAAAAAAAGCCAAAAAAATCATAGTTTATCAAAAAAATCACATTTTACTTAGTAATATGTAAGCTATTAAGGCTTAATAACTCACATAACTTGTGTAAGTTATTAACTTAAAGTTAATGTTATTAATATTTAATATTGAAAAAAGGTAATCATAGCATTATATTACTAATATATGTAATAAGCATTCATAGCATTCATATTACTCATATTTTTCATTCTTATTACTAATATTAATAGAAATATTGCTGTTTATCTAAATCAAAATAATAAACAAAAAATTATTCAATAGACCCCTCTGTCTCCCACGCTAGTATTAAGGAAAATGTAAATTAAGTACCAATGGTGTGTCAATAAATAGAGTGCCTGCTACATAAAATTTTTCAATGAAATTTGGCAGGTGCATAGATAAATGAAAAATTAAAAAAAAAAATAGGAAAGAAAAATATTGCAGCATATATTGGACGTTAACTTTATCACCGAAGTATGACAAAGTTTTGACATCAATAAACTCATTAATAAAGCAAGTGAGTATAATTAAAACCAAGTACAAGAAGAAGCTCAACTATTCTACTTTCTAAAAATATACTATGTAGATAACAAATACTAAAAAGTTATTCCACACAGCCTTCCTCAACCACGCTAACTTTGAAGAGACTACGAAAAGCGTGGATCAAAATTTTAGCACAAAATTCGGTTCCGTAAATCGCGATTATCGCGTACCTATTAATATATAATATATATTAAACAATTTTAATAAGTAATAATGACGGTAATAAAAATGTAAATAAAATGTAAGTAATATTAACATCACATATAATAATAATACTAATAACAATAGTGATAAAAATCTATTATTATTAGCGTAAGATTTTAATTAAAGTATTTTTTCTATTAAAAAGTCAAAAAGACGGGTTTTAAATTGTGGAGAGATTGAAAATGAAAAGGTAGATTATTCCACGATTTTACGCATTGGTTTGTAATAGTTAGTAATAATCAACGTATTTTACCGAACAGCGATTTGGGATAGATAATCACGACCGTGACTAATGTTGGAGATAAAGCAATAACAACAGAGTTAATAGCAGAATCACTATTTACATATAGTAAATTAGTCATTTACATATAGTAACATTAGTCACGTAGCTACCTATATCTACCAAAGTGAAGCAATATTTTGCATCCCATATGGCTACCAAAACCTGTGATAGTTTTTGTTGTTGTAATATGCTGATCCACTCAAACTAGGAGTTTCTATACATACATGCTTACCATCTATGGCTCCAATACAAGTATCTCAGAGTCACAGTCAATCGTTCTGAGGGGGATATAGTTTGATGGCCTTGACATGACTTCTTTGTAATGCTAGGTGCAATCATTGACATCAAGTGTTTATATCTTTCAGGCGACATTCTGCAAAAACGATGAAAAATTCTTTGTCATGAAGTCGTAGCTTAGGAATAAGTGTGTTAAATGCTCATTTTTCACAACCGTTTTTAAACAATGAGTAAATCCATAATTTGTGCTTTTTTTTTTTTTTTGCTCTGCAATGTTTTGAGAGCTAGTAATGTATTGCAAAGCGCGAGCTGGCAGTTCAAGAGATAATATTTTTTATTACTTGCCATTGTTCTAAAAATCAATTGCTTTATATAATTAATTAATTTTTTTTTCTTTATTTATAACTAGAATTATTTATTAGAAACTTATTATTATAGAAATAGGTAAGAGAGAAATTCTCTAATAGTATTAAAGCTGATGCTCAAAATCTATTATTTTTTTGGCCGGAAATCAGTGTTGTTGGTCATCTGGGAGCGTATTCAGCAAACTTTTTTTTTGCGTAAGTTTGGCATAAGTTTGGCGTAAGTTCAAAACAGTGAAATCCGTATTCACAAAATTTGCGCAGTTGCGTTAAACAAAACTTACGTACGTTTTTTCGTAACTTCTGTGCTAAAAAATCGGTATTCACCAAGCTGAAATGGTATTCACCAAACTTTTTATAAACTTGCTCAGCTCAATTTAAGCAAGAAAAGTTACGTTAGCTATTAGCTGCCTTAACTTTGGCGTAAAGTTAAAATAACTAAATATTAGAAATAGTGTAATATTATTATGATTCATATATTGTCAGATTGATATAGAATTTTATTATAATATATACAATTCATGTATATAAATTGTATATACTATAATAAAGTTAACATTAATCATAGATATTAACACAAATAATATTTGTGTTAATATCTATGATTATTATCTATTAATTTTATCTATAAATTATTATGATGCATTTATATTTCAAATATAAATGCCATTTATATTTGAAATATAAATGCATCATAATATTTTTACAACTTAATAACATCTTGATATTTGTTACGTATAAAGTGTTTACTTATTTATGTATGTTTATTTACATATATGTATATGTGTGATCGTGTATATGTATTGTGTGTATGCTTGTATATGTATACATGTGTGTATGTATATGTATGAATGTATGTGTTTTGCGTATATGTGTGTATGTGTTTGTGTGTGTATGTATGTGTGTATGTATGTATATATGTGTATCATAGACACATATGCATAAATAGGCGTGTGCATATACACATACACATATATGTGTGTATGCGCGCACTGGACATACTGTGACATACATACTGTGTGTATGTGTGTTTGGTGTGTGTGTATGTATGTATATGTTTGTATGAATATCTATGTATGTTTGATTGTGTATGTGTATGTGTGTTTATATATATATATATATATATATATATATATATATATATATATATATATATATATATATATATATACACATATATATATATATATATATATATTCACATACTGTGTGTATGTGTGTTTGGTGTGTGTGTCTATGTGTGTGTATGTATGTATATGTTTGTATGAATATCTATGTATGTTTGATTGTGTATGTGTATGTGTGTTTATATATATATATATATATATATATATATATATATATATATATACATATATATATATATATATATATATATATATATATATATATATATATATATATATATATATATATATATATGCATATGTATATATATATATATATATATATATATATATATATATATATATATATATATACATGCATATGCATATATATAAACACGCGTATATATAGATTTGTAGGTCATCATGTTTTTGTCAGTTATATAACTGTTTAACACACCAAAACATTGTGTATTATAATATCATAGTATTATTGTTATATTTTTGTATAATATGATCAATTTATTATCTTATAGTTGTAATATATATTATACGTTATATTATGTTATATTAATAATATAATAACATTATATAATAATATAATAATATGATCATAATATAATAATATGTTATATTAATAATATAATAACATCTTAATATAAATAAATTAAATACATTAGGTATAACTTAATTAATATTATAACATCTTAATGGTTGTCATAAAGATGTTATATCAATATTTATTTATAATATCACATCATGATGCATGTAATTTAAATATATTCGGGTCCTATTATTAATAGGGCCCGAATATATTTAAATTACATGCATCATGATGTGATATTATAAATAAATATTGATATAACATCTTTATGACAACCATTAAGATGTTATATTATTAATTAAGTTAAACCTAATGTATTTAATTTATTTATATTAAGATGTTATTATATTATTAATATAACATAACATCTTATGCAAAATAATAGTAACATTGTTATATAAAATAATATATTATAGTATATTGTATATTATTTGGATTATATTTTAAAAGATGCTGTGTTGTTATAATGCAGTTATGATTTTGGTAATATATATAATTATTGAATTATTATATTCATAAAAAAAACAACTATATCTTTATAAATATTAATAAAACACTATATATTTACAAAAAAGTAAGTATATCTTTATAAATATTCTATTTCACAGTTTTTTGTTATATGTTACGTGTCTCATTAAGTTTAACTATCATAGTTCATTTAGTTATTTTAATAGCTTTATTTTGTTTTAGTTTAAATAGAAATTAGATTAATTTGGTGAAGATCAAATCTAGCGTTAAGCTCAATATACTGCTTTAAACAATTACTCTGATGTAGAATGTGTTAAAAAATCTCATTTGTATAAAAGTATATAGAAGTATATAAAGCCAACACATTAACAATGATTTGTCACCAAGCATATTGAGGAGCAACCCAATTCCTTCAGAAGCAAAAATGTAACTGAGAGTTTTTAAATTAGCTGGGAGTTTTCAAATAGTAATTGGTAAAAACTACTAGTCAATTCAAAAAAAGAATAATTTTTATTTTTTTCTATTTTTGAATTAAAAAAGACATTAGAATATAATCCTAATGCAGTTTTCCTTTTTGCTTATTAACAGTCATGATTGCACCATTTAATCAGCCAACTACACCAAAAAAAATCAATTTCAATAAAGTTCACCTACAGAAAGATAGTGATGTGGAGCAATCCTTTGATGATCTCAAAAGCCATTGGATGTCACAAGAGACGTAAAGCACTTCAGTGCTCCTAAACATATGCTTACCCAAACAATATATTGCAAAATATAATTTAAGTGTAAGTTACTGGAAAACTTTTACAATTCCTTAGGATTAGAAATTCCAGAAGACATAAACTTTGAGGATAACAACGAAGATGATGTACACTATGTTCATGTTGAATTAACACAAGTCAAACAATTCGACTTGGCATTGTACAAAGAACACTAGTTAAAACTATGTTATTAAATTGAAGGGGATATGGGGATATATATGATTTACATGATATTTATGAATGAAAAAAATGAAAGTTTTTTTATTATTTATTAATTG